TTCTGGGCAATCTCCAGGGCCCATCCTGGAGAACCTTTTGCTCGCAGGAGCTGCGCTAAGCTGCTCATGCCAGTGTTTGTTTAGGGTTTAGGGTTTAGGGTTTAGGAGCTCGATGAACCCTCAGCATGGTTTGTTTGATCTCCTCCAGCTTCTTCCCAGTAGGCGCAACTTCCAAGGAAAGCTTCTTCCGTGAGAGCGCCAAAACCATAGGTTCACCACCATCACCATCACAGCAGGTCGTAGGGCTCGCTGTTGTCAAAGGTGAGGATGATGTCAAAGTTCTGGATGAAGTGGAGTGGTCCTCGTCCTCGTACTTCAGGAGCAGCCGCTCTGCCATCTTCTCAAGGGAGTTGATGTCTGAGCTCCAAGCATGCTCGAAGGCTTTGACTATCGCCCTGCACATTGCAGGTGGGTAATACGCACTTGCTTGAGCTGCATGCCCTCTGCATTCTGCGTGCTGATGGGAACCATCGCATCTCCGGCACAAAGACATCCAGAGCTCCCTGCTGCTCGTGAGCACTTGCCATCCTTTTCGAAGTGGAAGGCCTCGCCATTGAAGTCCATAGCTGCAGCCATCAAATCTGCACCAAAAGATTTGCCTTTTGTAGTGCCGCATCTTTTTGATGAGCTTCTTGATGGCCTTCGAGTTCCAACCAGCGTGTGCTGAGGCGGGCCATTCCCATGCAATGTCATCTCCATTGGCCAGGACGCTGTCGAGGGACTCCACAACTTCCTCATTGCGTCGAAGATCTTGTCCGCGACGTTTCATGAAGTTGTCCTACTGCTCTGGCGTCCGTGGAGTCAAGTTCTGAAGAGAACTCAGTCGGGTGCATTGCATTGACACCCATGTCAGCTTGGGGTGCTTCTGCTCAATGGCGTGCTTGAGGTCGGTCGTTCCCTTTTTGGTGTCCAGGTCAAAGCCACTCTTGTAGTTCACCCGGAACGTGGTGTAGCCAGCTGCCTCAAAAGTTGTAGACAGCTCAGATGTTGGACTGCATGCCACCTCCATCACGTCCAGCTGTTGGTTCACGATGCTGAAAAGCTCCTTGACGGGCTGCATCAAAACTGTGGTAAGTGCAGCTGCTTTTGCTAGCCGCCGTGCCAAAACAGGGCGGACCAATTTCTTGGTCACATTTGGCGCAGATGACAGATGAAAAAGTTCTCCGTCATCCACTGGGCTCGCATCAGTTCCAGTGCCATGCTCAAAGTCATTGGTCGTGGTGTCATTGAATTCCTTGGTGTAGTTGGACGTGTTGTCATAGTGAAGGTTGTAGTATTGATTCCCAGGTTCAGCCTCCAGCCGATGTTGGGAATGGTCGGGAGCGTTGTCTCCCTTCTGCATCCTTTCTCGCAAGCTTGTCAAAGCATTCCATAGGGCGCTCAGCCCTCCTCCTCCGATGACACCACCGTCAGCACGTCGTCCACCTCGTGGATGATCACCTCCTTCGGATGCTCCGTCGCCGGTGTTGACGGCGCAGCCTTCGGCGTCACTGGTGCCATGGGCTCCTTTTTCACATGCACTTTGACCTTTGCCACAGCCTTGGGAATCGCCGCAGTTGACGGCATCTTCGTCTCCTTGTTGAACTCCTCGGCATTGCGCGGTGTCTGGATTGGCATAGTCGGCGTTGTAGTTGAAGCCATACCAGGTTCCATCGTGCTGTAGCCGCTCATGAGGTACTTCCCAAAGGGCTCGTCGGCCTTGATCTCGACAGTAGTTCGTCCAGCTCCACCAGTTTGCACCAGACCACGGCCACGAATTTCCATCAGTTTGCCATTGAAGATCTTCTCGTTCATGTTCATAGGCGCGTACTGCTCCTTCAACTCCAGTTGGGCAGCTTCCACATGTAGAGGATCTGGTCCAATGGCACGTGTCTCTCCCTGGTAGGTGCCTTTCGTGGTGTAGCTCAACCTCAGGCCACATCTCTTGCATGCATGCCACTTTGCGTACTTGTTCTGGCGCATGGGGCCAGGGGTGTGCATCCCATTGCAAGGCCACCCTTGGTGTCGTGGGTCTTGGGGCATCACAGGAGGACATGGCTTTCCCACCGTGCTCATTCTGGGGCACGTTGAGCTCAGAGCGGAATGCTTGAAGGCGTTGGGCCAGACAGCTAAGGCGTTCGGTCATGGGTTGCTCTTCACCGGGCTCCATCATGACCATCAACACATTGCCATCTCTTCCATTTTCATGACCGTGTCCATGTTGTGGGGCATGTTCATGTCCATGTTCATGTTGTGGATCATGTGAACCCTCTTCTGTCATGACATGTGTTGTGGCTGGCCTCCAAATGCCTGTTTCCTCATGCAACTCTTGATGACTTGCAACATCATCGCCGCAAGAGGTCTCATTTTCCGTGACACCACCTGATCGGGTAAAAGAGGCACTGCGGGATCCTTCAACCCCAGCAGGAAAAGGTCTCTCGATTGGAGACTCCGGCGTGTAGTCACCATCGGTGATCAAGCCGTTGGAAACGTCGTTGATTGGGCTCTCTACCATCGTCGTCAGCTCATTGAAGTTCTGCGCAGCAAAGGTCTCAGTGGCATAGTGTCCAAGACGATGCATTGCGTCTCGGTTGATGCTGCCCTCCACAGTGGACATCACAGCAGCATCCATTGTCTCCGATGGCCCAGCAGCAGGCCTGGAGGCAGATCGGACAGAGGTCTCTGATCTCGTTCTCTTGTTTCTCCCAGGGCCATCACCATCATCAAGATGAGGACCATCGCCAGGTTCTTCAGGACCATCTCGATCTCCATCATCTCCGTCTCGTCTAGGGCCTCCTTGGTCTCCATGATCAGGTCGATCATGAGGAGGTCGGATCAGTGAGGACAATCTCACCGAAGGTTGAAACAGTGAAAGTGCTAGATGGCCACTGCGCAGGCTTGTCAGTGGACTGGCTCTCCATTCACCTCGTTGGTTTCTATGGGCCATGTACTCCCCCTTGTATGCGATCAAGGCTTGTCGATGTCGTAGGTCACGTGCTCCAAGAAGAAGAGGAGTGTTCTCTGCCGAGCTGTCCAGCAAGTAGAATGACACCTCACCAAGTGATGGGGTGTTCAAAGTGAGCTTTGAAACTGCTTGTTGAACTTGTCCATTGCCAAATCGGAACCGTGGCCGGTCTCGCAAGTTGATTTGGTAAGGAAAAGTTCCTTCATCCAGCATTCTCGCAGCACTTGCAACACCAGCTACTGACTCAGTTGCCCCCGTGTCGAGGACAGTCCTTGAGGCTCCAATTGACTGAAGTTCATCGCAGTCATGGGTGGAGAGAACATGGATCTCACCAGTGGGCACGTAGAAGCCGTAGTTGTCATACGCAGTGAAGTAGGCCCTTCCCTTCGAGTTTGAAGGAAAACCCTTTGGTGAACCTTTTGGTGATCCCTTGTTGCGGGAAAAACGGTCAGGGCACATCATGTAGGTGTGGCCGGAACGCCCACAAATGAAGCAGGGTCCCATCTTGCCCTTCATCTTTCCTTTACCTTTTCCTTTCACCATCTTACCCTTTGACTTCCCTTTTCCCACAGGGCCACCTTTCATGCCACCAGCATCGTAGTAGCCACGGGCTGCACGAACTTGAGCAACAGCCTTTCTGGCTTCTGTCAATGTCTTGTTGGCCTCCTGCGCAATGGTGTAGGCTTCTGCAAACCGTACTTCTTCAGGTGAATCAGCTTGAACTCCACCAGCATCTGAAGCCATAGCACCATCAGTTGCAGACGTAGTTGAAGTCCCCGTCATAGTTGGTGACTCAGGCCACCATCCATCATCCCAGTTGCTCCAGGACTCATCGCTCCAGGCATCTTCATGCCACCCATCAGCCGTCCAGTAGGCTTCCTCCTCATCAAACCAATCTTCTTGTCCATCATCTTCCCATTGAGCTTCTTGCCAATCCTCGTTGAACCAAACTGTGCACTTGGGGCCACCACGAAGATCTGTATCGACCTCGCCATCAGCTGCAAAGAGGCTCCTCAGCGCACGTCTCACCTGGAAGTACCTGGTGCTGTTGCCGGTCATGGTGAGCACATGCTGTCTTTCTGATGAAGACAACCTCGATGACTTCAGAAGTCGATATCCCCGCAGCTCGTCCTCGAAGTAGCCATGTGTAGGGCTCGAAGACGTCTCATCCGAAGTAGGTCTCGTCGATGATGTAGTCCCAGCAGCAGCAGCGTCCGCCGTAGGCGGTGGGCCAGCCGTAGGTGACTGGCTTGGAGAAGCTCCCATGTGGGGAATGTCCCCAGTCGCAGCAGGTCGATCTGGAGGAGGTAGTCCTTCACGTTCATGTCTGGCACGCTTCAGGGCTTGTTGAAGATCTACAAAGAGCTCTTCTTCTCGTACAAGTAGTTGCGCTATTGTTTCATTTGGTGTCCTGCGCAAACTCGACCATCGTTCAAGTCGTTGGAAGGAGTCTGGAACTGGAAGACGTTGTAGTGGTGAACTTCTCAGCACCTCCAGCAACCGGTTGAGGCCATTCTCCCTGCCAAACTCAGTTGGGTCCAAGTGTCGGACAACTGATTTGGCACTGCCTGACAGTCTTTGCCATATCTTCGGCGCCGCAAGCTTCTTCTCGGTGTCCTTCAAGCTAGCTTCGTACCACCTGCAGCTAGTGACGAAGCTCTCGAAGTCACTTGGGTCGCCGCTCCATGTCGGCACATCATTGGTGTCCTGCGGCATGACAAAGTCCACCGCAGCCACCAGCGCCAGCAAGGCCACCAAGGCCCAGGATGCACCAGGCAGGTGCTCCGCCTACCATGCAATCGCTCACACGGTCCCTACCGCAAAGGGAAACACAACAGGACAACCTATGTCCAACAGGCAAGCGCACAGCTGCCCTTTTTCTATGTTGGCTCTTGAGCCCACCCTGGGCAGCGGTCAGTCGTGACATGTCTGGTCACATTCACCACCTGTGCTTGCAATTATGTAATCATTATATAAACGCTATCTTATATATATATATGTATATACAACATGTGGCTATGAAGGGGCAAAGCTCTGCAAACTCTGTCCAAGACACACTGACAGGGATCCACAAAGCACCATGCTTGGCACGTCTCCTGCACGTCGAGGCAACGAATACCTTTCGGAACTCCAAGGATGGTCAGCTTATTGTTGATGTTGTGCACTGTTACCCAATATATCCCAATAGAACCCTAATATTTATATATATATATATGGATTTCATGCAATGTTACTATCAATACCCAATGTTGGCAATATTATACTATTATACAATGATACCCAGGTCAATGGTAATATTATTAATCCATACTTTTCTGATGGAATTTGGATCCCCAAATAGTTGCAGCACCTGATACCACAACGAGCACGTCTCCAGGCACGATGGGCTGACGATCACAACAAACACTCAAAGTCGCTGGCCCCCAAAAACACATTCCATTCAAAATCCCCGAATTCCTTTTGGGTACTGTATGGCTCAACATCATTGACTCCCCACAAAAATCAATGCTTCCAATCAATGTAATCCCCAAATTTTACCAAAAAATATTCCGAAACCATCCCTGCAATATGTCCAAGCCATATTTTTGGAGTTGCTTGAGATATTGACATACATTTAACCAACATCCACCCACTTTTCATCAGTAACAGGCGATATCTCCAAGGCCCCTCGCCCGCCCTGACTTTACGCGGTCCTCCATGCAATGCCTGGGGATGATTCCAGTGAGGTCACTATAACTTACCCAGATTAGCCAAATGATGTGTATATTCCTTGAGCTAAACTCCCACATATATATATACACATATGTATACGTGTATATATATATATATAGAGGATGATGATGATGATGATGATGACGACGACGACGACGACGATGATGATATACGGTGTATGGGCAGAGGTCAAAACCCTTTGACCCCTGGAATGTTCATCTCCTCAAAGTACGATATCATAGGCAATCTGGTTGGTGGTATACCTACCCCTCTGAAAAATATGAGTTCGTCAGTTGGGATTATTGTTCCCAATTAATATGGAACAATAAACCAAATGTTCCAAACCACCAACCAGCAATGATCTACAATCGAAATATTAATCACTTGAGATTGGGATATTGCAATCCCTCCCCCCTGCCATCTTTTTCGGGGTTGGAACATTAGTTGCCACTAGAAAAATGGCTATTTTCAGGGTCGATGTTTTCAATTGCCGTACCGGGTACGCAAGAAAGACGAAACATCTGGATAAACTACAATAATCTGGTAAATTGTAATGTTTCACTACAGTAACTTGAATGGTTCGGCCATTTGGGGATGATTTCCCTTATTAACCATGAATCCAGAATAATTCAATAACCTGAGGTAACTCTGCAAACACATGTTCAGCATCTTTTTTGTGGGATACTATGTACTAAGAGGAAAAAACAAACATAGTGAACAACAACACTCTTGTGATGCTACAAGAATCATCGATCTCCAGCATCCAAGATACAGGTTTCCACGAGAATGTGGTGAGTTTGATTTGGAATCTGTTGGTTCGCAAAACAAGACCAGTTGGTATACTTGGGGGTGCAGTTCCGGTTACTCAGTCACAAGTCAGTGTTTTTCATCATAGTTGGGGTTAGATTCCAATTTATAGGGGGTATAACCATGCTTATTTATAGCATTTTATAGCCATAAAAGTAACCTCAACTGCACCTCCCAGTAGCCAAGAGAAGCAACAAAAATGTGCGGAAACCGCCTGGTCCAATTGTCGCAGTGCGTCCCCACCAGGGCCTGTTGTTGTTGAGATCACAACTGGGGTAAACCCAATACATTACGTACAAATCTATGATAGAAGTGGAATATGTCAAATCTAAATCAAATCTATAACAAACATATATTTCAAGTAGAAGTGGAGATGATCTATTTGAATATTACGTACCACATCGTGCCACTAAGATTCACATCTTTTTCAAATCGAAGGGGAATTATATACTGGAATCAACCATCTTTGTGGTATGGCAATTAACCATTCACCAACCATGAATGGAGGCCTAATTTCATAAACCTCGGGGATGGTTTGCATGGAGTTTATGATCCAGTTACACACGATTCTTGTGAGATTTGATCAGCAAAAATGTAAAAAACATCAACTATACCAGTATTATTCTTATCAGATCAATTTGATCAATAATCTGTTATGATGATCAGTATTATTCTTATTGATGGCTTAACATCAATAATTACCTGCACCGACAAAAGACTTATAGAAATCCAATGTTGATCTACGGAAAATCGAAGTTCAACATTACTCATGATATATCATGGGATATTTAATGGCTATATAATGTGGGATATACCCTCTGGTTATTTAGCATAGCCATGGAAAACCGCCCATGTATAGATGTTTTTTGATGATTTACGGAACTTTACAATGGTGATTTTCTATAGCTACGTTAAATAACCAGAGGGTATATCCTAGCTACAAACATATACATCTGTGTGAATGGGTTTGCCACTTCCTCATTCCAGAGGGTAACCAAAAAATACTAAAAATACCCTCTGGTAATTTAACATAGCTATTGAAAATGGCCATTTATAGTGGATTTTCCCATTAAAAATGGTGATTTTCCATAGTTATGTTAGTTTACCAGAGGGTATGATTTCTGGGATAGGGTCAACCAATATCAACCATCCCGTGCCATGGGAGACTGCAATGCCCAGTCACCCAATCTCGTGTCCCTTCGCTGCACTTGGATCATGATCGAAAATTTACCAGCTGAGCATGGCAATTTGACAATGGATTATACATATATATATATATTATAATATATAGATGTTCATGCCTGGCTTGGTTATCAATCAAACAAAGAACACTTGCGATATCCATATATATATAATAACATTATATATATACACATCCATATATAATATATCAATATCACTATATATATATATATATCATATGTAAAAATATATGATGTATTTTTTTGTTTACGAAAAAACAATCAACATCAATCAACTTCCATAACGACCCGCCCGTTGGGCACCTGGTCTGGGCTCGCTGTCCTGGAGAAACCCCATTGAAATCTGGGCCCGTCGTCATATGGGGCGGGGTCCATACCCGGCCAAAAAACGATGGAAAAATCCACCCATTTTGAATGGGTTAATGATGATTAATGATGATTAATGATGATTAATGATGATTAATGATGATTAATGATGATTAATGATGATTAATGATGATTAATGATGATTAATGATGATTAATGATGATTAATGATTGTTGTTTTTATGGCTGGTTGGTGGTATCAACGAACTGGAAAGATCCACCCATGCTATTCGACTGGGTAAATCTGGGTAAATCAACGATTTCGACTGGGCCATGGCTTCAAGTTCGCAAACTGTGAATGTTCACCAGAGGGTAAATGTTGGATCTCCAATAGCTGGTAGGTTTTTCATGGAACATACCCTCTGGTAAACTAACATAACTATGGAAAATCACCATTTTTAATGGGTAAATCCACCATAAATTGCCATTTTCAATAGCTATGTTAGTTTACCAGAGGGTATCCCCAAAAACATGGATGATAACTGTCTCTAGATCCATAATTTGCGAGTGAATCCACCATTTTCAGACACAAAAACATCATATCAACTTGCTTATGCATCCGATACCCCCACTATACCCCTACTAGATACCCACTATACCCGACTATATCCCACTATAATTCCACTATAATCCCTATAAAATTGTTGTTTTTTTTTAATGTGTTTTATATGTTTTTATACCATGTTTATCCCTTTATTACTTGGTTTAACCCAAGGATCCTCCGCCTTGACGTCCTGTTTAAGCCATCAAGGCCGACACAGGGACAACCCGGGCTGCCGTAGTTCAGGTGAGGCCGATCTGAGCACCCCAGATGCGGGGCCCGGATCTTGTTTTGGTGATATATGTTATATCCAACTATACTTACTATATATGTATAGTACGTATACAACTAAACTATATCAAACTATACATTACTAAATTACTATATCTATATATATATATATAAATAAGATGCATTATATATATATAACTATACATGGACTTCACCATAAACTTAGTTTGACCAAACTAAACTGAACCAAACCATCACTAAGTGTGTTGGTTTAGTTTATAGTTTATAAACCCATCCAACTAACGTGACATATACTTACACCATAAACCATCGATTTTACCCAGTCACTTAGCTATGGCCAGCTGCTTGGTGGTGCACCCAACATAGGATGGAAAGTCGCGACATATTCACTGGTCGGGCTACATGCTGTGGATGGGCCAGCGAAATCCTGCAGTTGATAGATGGTTTATCCCATTATTTATAAGGTTTCAACCATCCTGTTGGTGGTGCAGGATTTCGCAACCATCCACAGTATGGCTAAATCATCATCACACAGATCTTTTCTAAGTATATGTTGTTCAACTGTCAACATTTGCTGATCCGGAAGCCTCCAAAAAAAACAAGAAATCGTCCCAAGACTCTCCAGGAATCAGAGCGATTGGATGGTTCCGTGCACCTAAAATGACATATCTAACTGGTTGGTGGTTTTAACCATCTTGAAAAATGATGGAGTTCGTCAATGGGAAGGATGACAACCCATATATTATATGGAAAATAAAACATGTTTGAAACCACCAACCAGCTAAAATGGCCAGATCCAACCGGCAGAATTCACAAACCACGTGGCGCTCGTAATTTTACCAAGAGATATGTCACTCTATGGAAGAAGACTTGGGAATACACCAAAAATTTAGATCAAGCCATGAGAAAAAAAAACACCAATGGAAATTGAGGTCTTCCAATATGGATAAATAATAAACATGATTCTCTGACCTGAAAAATCCAGCGATTTTAGCTGGAGCTTACCCAAATCCAGCTATCCCATGATTCCAGTGACGTCGTAACAGGTCCAATCTTTCCATTTCTGAGGGATAGTGTTTCAACTAGATGAACTCTTCCCAGGGCGCCAAAATTTCAGATGTTCATAGATCTGGGCAAACTTCCCAGCAGTTTTGCTATACAAACATAGCCATGGATTCATGGATTCAAAAAGAGAGATATTTCAAAGGCAATGGCAGAAACTTGCAATTCTGAGGAGAAACATTTGAAAGTTCGCTTTCTAAGCATCATTTTCATACGTTGCGAGGTTACTACTTGGGGGTGCGGGCCCCACTTAGCAAATGGGTTATACCCCCAGTTATAGATGGAACATCCCCTAACATATATATATATATATATATATATATATGTATGTATATATATAAATGGATTATACACCACTTACTAAGTGGGATGCACATCCAAGTATGATCTACCCCGAGATTGGGGACAACAACATGAGACGCCTCTGTGGTGTCGTCGTTGCAGCAAATTGGAAGACACAGCAACTGAGCGCAGTGTGTTGTCGGTCTGACTCCACTGACCATAGGTACAATGTGAGGCCCCCCAGTGAGGTTTGTTGGTTTATAAGCCCCAGTAACTAGTTCGTTATAAGTACCATAAACCATAGTTATTGGAGTTATGTTCACCCCAACTTAGCTATCGAACGGGGGCCTCACATTGTACCATAGGCATAAAGAGGAAAATCATTGGAGTGCACGAACTATCGGTGAACTATGGGAACCTACACCCAGTATGCTTCTGATACTTCTGAGTCAACATATCTCACCATCCACTGTATCTGTTACCCTCCAGTAAATTAACAGTTCGACCCTGGCAGTTGTCGGGTTGGAAGATTAGTTTCCACTCTAAAAATTGGCGAGTTTCAGGGTCCAACATGTTAATTTACGGAAAATCACCATTTTTTTTAAATGGGTAAATCCACTATAAATCACCATGTTCAATAGCTATGTAGCAGTCATTACCAGAGGGTAAAGTCCACTCTTCAAAGGCTACTCTGTATCCAATATGGAGCCTTGGACTGATTTTTGGGACCACGACTGAACGGTAACCATCATCTTCACAAACATTCCATAATTCATACATGTCATATCATTTCATTATCTCAGTTGATAGATTGATTGTGGAAATGGCCAGGTCCCCAACCTTCAGTCCTCCGCACCTCGTCCACGTAGCAAGCGGCCGCCTTCTCTGTTTTCACCGGCAGCAGCTCGGGTGTTTGAGCTTCAAAAGGGCAGCTACGTCGACTGCAGTTGGTAAAAGGGTTCAGTGACATGTCAATTGGTGCAACATGTCTGAATTAAATGTACAAATCTACCAAAGTATGAAAAACAGGGTATGCCGTTCTGCACTCCCCCTTGGATGCGTCGTTAGATTGCATCCATTTCTTTCTTTACAGCTCAACCTGCCCTACCCATTGTACTCTGTACAGTACATGCATCCTCTCAGCTCCGTAGCATCTCGTGCTCTCGGGCATCTTCGATCAGTATGGACGGTCTGATCGCCCATTCGCAAAAGCAGCGGACTTCCAGGGATTGGTCTTCCACGGGTGCGCATCGCAACCTCTCGGCACAAGGCACACCATGTGAACGGTCTCGCATAGCCAGTTCGTGGTCCTTGAAGCTGGGTGCATCCACGTGTATCGTGATACACTGTTCCACATGGCGTCCTCAACACCTGAAATCCAAGTTCTGCTCTGCTATGATCTTCTGGCACTCCTGGAAAGTCGCCCTGCCTCCCAAAATGGTCCCACAGGGCTGCCTCTTCATACGCAATGTCTTGAATCGCCGTCTCAATTCGGCCTGTCATACTGCTTGATGTGCTTCCACTTGAGGAGCTGGAAGCTGATGGGCCACTTTGTGGTGCGGCCTTTGGTTTTGGGCCCGCTTTTGGTGGGGCCTTTGGTGTTTGGCCCGCTTTTGACGGGGCCTTTGGTCCCTCCTTTGGCGGGGGAGCTTTTGCAGGCGCAGCCGGGAGCTGGACTGGAGGATCAGCATGACCCTCCAACCCGCCCTCACCAGCCGAAGCTGGGAGCTGGACTGAGGCCCTCTGCCCCAACCCGCCCTCACCGGCGCGTCGCTGCTCAGCCACCGCGAGCTGGACTGGGGATCCCTCCTCCATCCCCAACCCGTCCTCAGCGGGGCTTGGCTGGTTTGACGACCCAGCAGCCGAGGGCAGATGCCGTGGTCTTTCCACGGGTCCGCACACCTCAGCACATGCTCGACCCTCTGCCACTGACGTTTCCTCACCCATGGGGAGACTTCGGCCACGGGTAAAAAACCTTCTTTTCCAGTTTTCGCCCAATGCGCCTACTCCTACCTTCCACAGGATTTGGACCATCAGCGTGATCAGAATGATCAGCACCGTGTAGATGACCATAAAGTTGTGGAAGTCACCTGCTGGTTCATCGTCTTCTTCATCTCCTTGAGCCTTTGACACTGACAACAAGGCCGCCATCGTGATGAGCTTGACGGCCATGGTGGCGACCGATTTTGAGTCGGTCTTGATCTCCTTTTCTTTTTTCTCATCCTTCTCCATTTCAACACCTTTTTCTTCGGGCTGAGCAACTCCCATGCCCATCATCTGCTTCAAAGTTTCCATCCTCGATGAGGTCAGAACTTTTGTGCCCAGGTCCGCCAACATCTTCTCACCAGGGACATGACCCACCTGCCAGTCACCACGCAGCACAGATTGGCGAGCAAACGCCCACCTCAGCCTGAGGTGTCTTGTCCTCCAGCTTCCGCCCTCAGCAACCAAAATGGCCAGTGCAGCTTGCGAATCGCACAATGCCACCTTTGAGATTTCACCAAACAGCTCTGCCAGCACGACGTAAACTGACTCGCCGGCAATCATCGCCTCAACGAGCTCCATCAACTCTGACTCGGCCGTGCTCAAGGTGATTGTGCCCTGCCTGCCGCTTCTCCAAAACATCAACCCATCGTTCACCATAACCACAAACGATCCATGGGACTCATCTGCTTCGGGTGCAAAGCTGGAGTCTGAGTAGACATACAGCGTGATCGGGTCATCGATCTTCTGCTTGTACTGTAGGCCCTCACCTGCAGTTCTCCTGAGATAGGACCTCATTTGTGCTGCTGTGTCCTTGATGCAGTTGGCGGCCTTCAAAACGTTGGCCCCCATCCTGGAAACTCCAAACATCAAATCTGGTCTGCTTCGGGTCACCAGCCAAAGCAACTCACCGATGACCTTCTGGGAAAACTTGACTCCTTCTGGCGAAGGGGGAATCACATCTGGAGGCATCGAAGCTTGGTCACGGGTGATAGGGAGCTTTCGTGGTTTTCCCTCCTCCTCATAGCGCCCAAGCAAGTCTTTGATGTATGCCTCTTGTGAAAGGCACCATTGGACCTTCTCCTCCCCCTCGATTTGGTGGCAAGTCACCTCCAGGCCCAAAAACCTCACTGGTGTCTCGCCAACCCACTCCGGTTGTGTGGTCGCCCAGGTCTCTTGAAACTTCTGAGCAACTGACTTCGCCACCTGCTTCTCGGCGACGATAAAAATGTCGTCGACATACGTCATCACAAGGCCAATGACTCGGCCGTTTGAGATCCATTCTTCTTCTGCCTCTTGGAAGCCTCCTCTGACCACAACCACCTTCCATAGGTTCTGCTCTGACTCCATCGGCTTCAGCTCCAGGCTTTCGCAGCGGCCATCAATGACCACCTTGATGTCAAAGGTCTTGATCGTTTTGTCTCGATGAAGACCCCAAAGCTTTGGTGAGCGCCTGAAGCCGTACACTGCCTTCAATGGCAGGTACAGTGTGTCCGGGTCCAGAAACTTCATCTCCTTCAAGATGTGGGGTGGCTGGACCAAAAGAAGGTCCTCATCCGGCTCCTGTTCCATCTGCGCGTTGAGGAAAGCAGTTCTGACATCCAGGATGCATCCGGCCCACTTCATGCGGGATGCAATCCATGCCAACAACCTCAAAGATGTGGCATCTGCACCACCTGAGTAGTTTTCCTCCCCCTCTTTCTTCTCCTCATAGTTTCCGCAAACAACCCACCGGGTTTTCTTTTTCCCTTCTTTGTGGTCTGGGGAAGGTTTCACAGTGAACACCAGTTTGGAAGGTATGATCTCCAACTTCTTACCCTCCTTTTCTGCCTTCTTCTTCAACGCTTTGACTTCATCCTTTGACAGCTCCTTCAAGGCTGCCTTCTCAATGGTCAGGGACTCCACCTCGCTTCTCACTGATGGGATCCACTCCGACCAGTTTCTGACCACCTCCTTTGGTGAGATGACCTTTGTTTGAAGGATCTCATCTCCATCCTCCTTCACTTCAGCCATTTTTCTCAGCCTTCCCAAAATTCTGACTTCCTCGGCGGCCAGATCTGGGTCGTCGTTGATGATGGACTGCATCTCATCCTCCACCACCTTCATCAATCTTTGAACTTCAGCCTTTTCCTTTTCTTCCAGCACCTCCTCAGGATCTGCAACTGAGGCATCCATTCTCCTCACTGCTGATCTGCCTCTGATTCGGCGTCGCTGTTCTTGTGCATCTCGCCCTTCTCTTTCCACCGCAATCCAAACCGTCTCATCCTCCGGCTCAGTGGTGGGCGCCAAAATGTAGCGCGTAAGGCGTGGGGCTTCGCCTTCTTTGATCACCCAATGACCATGGTTTTCCACTGAAGGGCATAGATACTGAACCTTCTCCACTCTGGGGTCCAGGTCATCCCGCCTCCATGTCCGCTTTCGGACTCTTACTTCTTCCAAAAACCTTGGCCAACTTGGTCTTGTCTCCATCCGGACACATCGGTACACCTCATTGACGTACCTCAAAGCCCATGGCCACCATTTCGCATCTTCACTGGCCTGCCTCAACGTTCTGCGGATCTGGTTCTTGAAGTCCTTCACCGCCATTTCAGCTCTGCCGTTTGCGGCTGGATCATCACCTGGTGTTTTGGTGAGGTAGATCCCACGCTGTCGGGCCCATGTCTTGAACTCGCCAGCAAACTCATGACCTTGGTCTGAATGGATGCGGCCCACATGGAACCCTTCCGTCCGCAGCCGCAACACGAACTCCATCACCGTGTTCACCACATCTCTCGCCTTTTTGGAACCCATTGGCAAGGCCATTCTGAACCTTCTCAACTCTGTGACCTCATCCAAAGTTGGGGGTCCAAACGCCTCGCCTGGGAGCTGGACTGGAAGATCTGCATGACCTTCCAACCCGTCCTCACCAGGGGCGTCGCCAGGCTCTCCTTCAGCCGGCGCTTCACCAGGGAGCTGGGCTGGAAGCAACTCCTCAGCTTCCAATCCGTCCTCACCCGGTGGAACTGGATCCTCAGCTCCTTCTTCAATCTCCGGAGCTCCTTCAGAAGCTGCTTCTTCAGGGGGGTTCTGCATCTTGTCACTCCCCTTTGGCACCCTCCAGGTCAAAACTCCAACCAAAAAATACCTTGCCATGTGCCCACCCAAATCATAAGCAGGCTTCAGTGGACCAGCTGTGTCGATTGAAAGCACTCCAGCAATTGGGTCCTTGACCAGTCGATGAGGCGGGCATTGTTGTGAGCTCTCCTGGCATACTCGACAATCTCTCCTGTATGGAACATGCCTGAAAGCCAAATGCTCGCTCCAGGACATAGCTTTCCCTTTAAAAGTGGGGCCCTCAACCTGTCTGATCAAAGCTGAGGCGACCATTGACATCACTCCTGGGGCCCATCTCGAAAGCTGGGACGAGCAAGATACCCTTTCTCCTGCTCTGCATCTCCTTTGATGACCAGCTGCGTAGAGCTCCAAGTTCCCACCAAACGTCGTTGGCTTCGGGGTAAGACCACCGAGCTCACCCTGCTTGAAAGTTGATTCCTCAAAGCTGAACTCTCGTGCCAGCTCTGCCCATTCTTTTGTATCCCACCAACTCACCACCTCCGGCATGAACTCCTTGGGGGTTGCTGGCTGCTCCACAGAGACGGTCACTTCGGTCTCAACCTTTCTGGCCCTTCTCATGTACACTGCAACCATGTACAAAAACCAAAAACGCCACATCAAAACATCGTCTTCATGAAGCTTCTGTTTCTCCTCTTCTGTTGCATCATGAATACCAAACTCCTCACCTCCCCAGCGGCGAATCGGCCTCGGGGCACAAGGCTGCCCTGGAATGGGGATGTGCCTCAGCAAGCTTCTCGTCCTGCAGTTTGGCCCACCAACGATCGCATTGATCTTTCCCTCCAAAGCCACCCTCAACAGACCACGATAAACTGCGTGGTCCGACAGCATGTCATGTTGTTCTCCTCGTTGAACATCAACTTCCAACAAGGCATCGACAGAACCACCCAGCTGTTTGATGGCATGCCGCAAAGTGAACCCTGTTTCTGGCCCAGCATACAAATGAACTGCTAAGCCACTCCTCTTCCAGCGCTTTCTTGAGTGTCTGTTGCCTGGAAGATCAGACCAAGTTCCAGGCTCCACCACCAGCCGCTCCTTGATGTGCTCTGGGAGTGAAGACAGCACTGGATGTTGCGACACCAGCTTTCTCGGCCATGCCACTTCCGCATCAAAACTTCCAATCTCATTGGGAATGCCCATCTTGATGTCCTCCAGCTCCGCAATCAACGTCAAAGCCTCAGATCTGGCAACATGGGGGCAACTTCCCTTCATCATCACCTTGATTTCTCCTCTCAGAGGATGGTGGATCTGCATAGATCCTTGCTTCCAGGAAATGTCACAGTTCAGCTTCTGCGACAACAAGCCCATGGGGATGATAGGCTCGATGGCAGGTGAAGGTGATATCATAGCACCTCCAGGGGACATCTTCAACCTCACCGTCCTTCCATCTGCCAATGCCACCTCCACCACCGGGTACAGATCAACATTCTCACCTTCATGTCTAGGACGAAGTGGATGTGTTGCACCTGAATCCACAAGTCCAACGTCGTTCCCAACATTGAGTCTCTTCATCTTGAACGTCTTCATCGACTTCAACTGCTGATGAAGGCGCTCCATCACATCGTTGTGGAAGAAGTAGTGTTGGAAGAGCTCGACAGAGACTTCAACATCCGGTTGGCCTCCTCCAGCAAGTCCTTCACTGCCTCCCCTTGACTAGATTGGCTTCCAGTCTCTGACTCCTTCATTGGTGAAGTCACATTGCGCTCCTCCCCCTCGGCCTTGGCAACCCTTGGCTTGTTGGGGCTTGTTTCAGTAGAAGCGCCTTTTGACCTGGTGCAGCTTGGTGAAAGGTGGTCCACACTGCCGCAGTTGTAACACCTGCGACGATCATCTTTGACATCATGGCTAAACGTGCACTCCTTTCCCCTTTTGCAACCAGCATCCGTGAGAAAAAACCTGCATTTTGGCTTCGGCTTGTCCTCCTCTGTAGACCTCTCTTTAGTCTTTGGCTTGTTCTTGTCTGCGTCCAAGTATTTGATCTTCACCTCGCCCTTTGGCATCGCAGCAGTGGCCCTCTTTTCGGAAAGAGCAACTTGTTCGATCTCAGCCAAAAGGTGCGTGGCAAACTGGCTGACTGTGGTGTCGGTCGGCCTCGTATCCACACCAAGGGAATTTCGGGCCAGGCTGACCCTGAATTGTAGTTCTTTGTTGGACTCCAGGACTCGGCGTGTTAACTTGTTCAGACCTTTCAACAACAGTGCCGGGTCTGGGGTCACTGCACCGATCTCCTGGGACCGCAGCTTCCAACGTAGCCACCGACGTATTGCAGCAGGAGCCTCGCCCACCGTGGTGACCTCTGTTGGCTCCTCCAAACTTCTCAGCAATGTCTGCTTCTCCAAGACACCACCTGGGCAATACGTCAACAGCAGTTGCGTCAAAATCCCAAAAACGCTCAGCCGTCGAGCTGAAACCAACTCCTCCTTGACCACCTCCGGCACAGATTGAAGCAGCATCGATGCCGTTCTTCTTTCCAACCTGGACCATTTTTCCAAGGTGACCTCTGGGGGCGGTTGAACTTCATGTTGAACTCGATCTAGTGGGGGCATCATCATGTGCTTCTGGTACCACTGCTCTGCAGACTTCACCATCAGCGACCACCACACTTCTGAAGTTGCTGACAAATCAGCTATGATCGGCTCCACAGTCAGAAGCCAATCTCCCAACTGGAGGGGACCCTGGCTTGGTGACCAGGGGGTCAACACCGGCAGGTCAGGAGTGCCGGACCTCACAATCTCAACTCCTCGAACCATGCCAGTCTCATCCTTTGTCTCGTTGACCTTCTTGTGTAGGTCCTTCATAGTTTCCATCATAATCACCATGAACTCCAAAGATTTCTCAGTGAACTGCGCATTCCCTCCACCAGGTGCACCTCGGCTTCCTTCTTCTTGGGGACGCTGTGATGCTTCCACCTTTGGGGGTCTGGCAGCCTCCTTGGGGGTTTTGAACTCTGCAGCCTCAGGTAGGAATGGGGGTCTGGCAGCCTCCTTTGATGGGGGTCTGTCAGCCTCCTTTCGCCGCTTCAACCAATCCACATCCATGTCGAAACCTGGGCTGGTCTGATCCGGCTGTTCCTCAGGAGTCGCAAACCTAGGTTCATCCTCAGTCTGCATCTTGCTAGCACTTTCAAACCTGGCTCTCAACTGACGGTTCTCTTCTACCAACAGTTGAATCTGCCTTCTACATTCGTCTTTCTCCTCTCGGTCTCTCACTGCTTGCATTCTCAGAAACTCCATGTCTCTTTCATGTTGACTCACTGAAGCTCTGGCTGCATCTCCATCCAAAAATGAAGGACGTGAAAAACCAATTGGATTGAAAAACGACTGTTGGGGCCCATACATCCATGCGGCTTGTCCCTGCAGTGCAGCAAAGTTTCTCAGCTGCTCCTCGGTGAACAACGGAGGTGCCATGGATTGCCCTTGCACTTGGTTTGCATCATCTCCTGCTTGTTGTTCAGGGGGAGTTGCAATCTCCCTCATCAAAGGTCCACCATTGAAGTTGCCTTCACCCTTGTCGGCGGGCGTATTCTTCTCAAGGGAGTTCACCACCTCTTGACGTAGAGAAAGGGCAGGAGGATCAGGAGGAGGTTGTGTAGGCGGCAACAACGCTTTGGCACCTGAACCCTGATTGGAATTCCTTGCAGGGGTACCTCTTTGAGGTTCATCTCTCTTACCCTCTTTCGGTGGAGGCGTTTCCCCTTCTACAACATCCACAGGTTTTTCTTCAGGTCCGTTTTGTATAGGCATCTCACCCCTACTCTCAGCCTCTGTTTTCATTCTTTCATCAGCTAGTCTTATCTCCTTTTGACCCTGCTCCATCTCTTCTTTGGTGGCCCTTCTCCTATGGAACTCACTCATCTGCCCAGTGAACCGCTTGGGCTCATAACCTGGAAATGGCCAGGTCCCCAACCTTCAGTCCTCCGCACCTCGTCCACGTAGCAAGCGGCCGCCTTCTCTGTTTTCACCGGCAGCAGCTCGGGTGTTTGAGCTTCAAAAGGGCAGCTACGTCGACTGCAGTTGGTAAAAGGGTTCAGTGACATGTCAATTGGTGCAACATGTCTGAATTAAATGTACAAATCTACCAAAGTATGAAAAACAGGGTATGCCGTTCTGCAGATTGAAACCACATAAAATATATACAATGTGAGGCCCCCCAGTTATAAGTTGGTTTATAAGCCCCAGTAACTAGCTCGTTATAAGTACCATAAGCCATAGTTATTGGAGTTATGTTCACCAACTTAGCTATCTTGGGGGCCTCACATTGTATATTATATATATATATATTTATACAGCCAAAAACGTAGCGCCAGCGCCTTCGGGTGAGCACGAGTCAGGCTTTGCAGGACCTACGCTTTGTGAAGGTCTGGGTGATCTGGGTGGCTCCACCCGTCATAGATTTCCAAGACATGGTGGAATTTATGTGGATTTGCCATTGGGAAAATAACATTCGAATTTCAGCAAACCCAGGTATCCAAGCATACTGTTTCAAGTTCAATTAATATCATATCTACATATATCTACATATATCTACATATATCTACATATATCTACATATATCTACATATATCTACATATATCTCTACCATCAACATCGATAAAGCCAACAGTGAACATGAGTCAATGGATTGGTTTAAGGGACAAATTACAGGAAAACCCCATATTGAATGGTAAAAACCATGGTTTCCGGTTCCGGTTTTCCCTTAAACCAAACCATTGAATGAGTGAAACTCACGACCTTCGCCAGAAAAATGGGGGCACCACCGCTGTCGCGAAATCTGGTTTCCTTGTCAACTGAGTAGGTCACCGCTCGGAGACGGGACGCCCAAAGATCAGGGAAATGATGGGACATGAAGAATAGTAGAGGAAATCACCTACAGTGTGAGGCCCCCCAGTGATGTGAACGTTGCTCAACAAAAGCCCCAGTAACTACTTCGTTATAAGTATACCATAAACCATAGTTATTGGAGTTACAAACCAACGTAGCTATCTTGGGGGCCTCACATTGTAGATAGTACCATCTGGTTATGACTAACATAGCTTAGCCATGAAAAGATCCACCCATTTTTAATAGGTAAACCATCTGGTAAACCATCTATAAATGGGTCATCTATACCATGGCTATGTTAAATAACCAGAGGGTAACCACCAAAATAAGATGGACAAAATAGAGAAAAAAAGAGATGGACAAAATAATAGTGAAATCCTATTGAATTCGAATTCGGTTCATCAACTACTGTTCTATATTTTTGGGGGGGTACGATAGTTTTTTTTTTTCGAAATGAACTCCTCCCGCGCCAGCGCCTATGGCACACAGCCAAATCCAGCTCCTGTGGTGAAATTCAAGGAGAAGATGGTCAAGCTGAAGATGGGATATGGGATAACCTGGCCTGGTAAACATACAAAAAGCGAACTTGAAACATATTGAAACCATGGCCCAGTCGAAATCGTTGATTTACCCAGTCGAATAGCATGGGTGGATCTTTCATGATCTTTCCATATAGTTTTTTGGACTGTGACTACCAGGCCGGGTAAGTGAAATCATCATTAATATTCATTCATCACCTTTCTTAACCATCATTCACCACCATTAATCACCATTAATCTACCAGTCGAATAGCATGGGTGGATCTTTCCATAGTTGATACCACCAGCCATTATTAACCATCATTAATCATCATTAACCCATTCAATCCCATTCAAAATGGCTGGATCTTTCCATCAAGGGATGGTGATGTTTTACGGTCTTTCCGTTTGACATATTCATCCTGGATTCATCAACCCCGGTCTAAACGGCTCCAAAAAATTTAGGGAAGGTACCATCCAAGTCATCAAAGTCAGTATCAAATCCATGGATGAAATTGGATTATTTGGGGGAATACCCCTCCAATATTTTTCATAAACCATGGTTGAGTCCTATCCGGGGTTGACATAAAAAACGACCACCCCTACGCAAAAAAATGTTGAGCGATGTCCATCCCTCATGGGAAAATCATCTGAATGTTTTGACCATGGCACCCCAATGACCTGGACAATACCCGTTTCAGAAGCCAAACGGGGCATTTTGCCATTGCGAATGTAGTTGACGATTAAATATAAATATAATTATATATATATATATAATTTATATTTCTACATATATATATATATATATATATGGCTGCTGATTGGTATATTCTGTGTTGGTATATTATGGTATATTTGGCTGCTGATTTGAGGCTGCAAGCTTCGACCGGGCCTCATTCCGTGGCGTTAGAGAACGCCATCGATATCAGGTGGATGCCATCGGGTAAGGTGGTTTCAGCCAGACACAGTGGCTGCGGGCACGGCTGGCCGAGCATTGCTGTTGTCCAAATAAGGCAGAAAAACGATACACAACATATGTGAAAAATATGATGAAACATAAAACTGTAGTTGGTGGTATACCTATCCCTCTGAAAAATGATGGAGTTCAAGTCAGTTGGGATGATTATTCCATTCCAATATGTTAAATATGTTAAACATCATCCCAATGATCATCAAATCATCCAAAACATCATCCAAAATTTGCCAGGTGAAGTTTTT